TCATCGTTGCAGCTGCTTCACGAACGTCACGTCCTTTTATTCTAAGGCCAGCGTGTTGTTCTCGCAGGTGGAGAGAGACACATCTGGGCTGCGCTGTTTGTACCGGCAGTTTTATAGTGGGGGGGGGGGTCAGTTTCAGGGTTCAGCATGAGAGAAGAGGCTGCCTTTAGCGTTTAGCTAGCACACCTGTATCGAAAGCTGCGAGCTTAGCGTTACATCAGTGTCGAGAGGTGGGGGGAGGCGCTCTGTTCTGTTGATGGGGCGGGGCGCTCTGTTCTGTTGATGGGGCGGGGCGCTCTGTTCTGTTGATGGGGCGGGCGCTCTGTTCTGTTGATGGGGCGGGCGCTCTGTTCTGTTGATGGGGCGGGGCACCCCGCTTGTATAATTAAAAGGGGAAACACTGAAAACCAAACCTGAATCGAAGTAATTCACTGATTATTTCAACTGTTTTATCTTTTTTCATTTGCTGATAATGTACATCTCTTCTCTTTCAGGTGGTGTTTCAGGTGGTGTTTCAGGTGGTGTTTCAGGTGGTGTTTCAGGTGGTGTTCCAGGTGGTGTTCCAGGTGGTGTTCCAGGTGGTGTTTCACTGCTTTAGTTCTTACGTGTTCACCAGACGTTTTGTTGCTGTTAAGCTGTGGTTTGTCTGGAGTTTTTCTTGTGTCTTGGTGAGCCAGACTTTGTGGCATTTTGTTTTTTGGTTATGGGACTTGTGCGAGGCATGTTTGTGTCTGATTAAAATTCCATTTATCACCATCTTAGAACTCCTGCGTGTTTGTTTCTTTAAATGCCCCCTCGACCCAGTGCAGGTGGTGGGAGACAGAAGGACTCCAGCTAAAATAACATCATTGCTGTACAACGTCTCCCACCCCACGAAGCTGCTGCAGAACTGGAGAGCTCGTTCAGTGACAGGTTCCTGCTCCTAAATGCACAAAGGAGCGTTACCGCAGCTCCTTCCTCCAGCAGCTCCTTCCTCCAGCAGCTCCTTCCTCCAGCAGCTGTTAGACTCTACATCAGGGGTGCCCAACCTTTTTTGAACCAAGAGCTACTTTTGAAGTCGGCAATTTGCCGAGAGCTACTCGTCCAGTCTCATTATCAACAAACATAATTTTTCATCAATCCCTACTCCTCACTTCTTTAAAGTAAATAAAACAGAACGTGATGTGTCTATAGGAGACAACTTTTTATGCAAGCTGTATAAAATAAATGTGTCTCTACCTTAGTGGGACTTCTGACACTGAGAGGAGGAGGCCAGGGTCTCATAAGCTGGGCTGTATGAGGTGGTTGCGAGGCGCAGGCAGGTCTCCAGATGATCATCATTCATTGTGGATCTGTTTTTGGACTTGATGATTTTCATGTGTGAAAAAGCAGACTCACACAGGTAGGTAGATCCAAAAAGTGCTGTTAAGTTCAAAGCACATCTTGGGATGTTAGGATACTTTTCTTCTGACAGCAGACTCCAGAACTCTCCATCCACGCCAGGTGATGCTCTGGATTTGATCCCAATGTCATTTTGCAGACTCAACACCTCATTTTCAACACCAGAGCTGTCCAGCTGAAACACGGACACCAATTTGGACACAATGTCATCCACATCAACATTTCCAAAAGGATAACACATGTAGCTGGTAACAGGCTCGATGGAGGAAAAGTCAGTAAATCATCTCTCAAATTCTGCTGAGATGCTCTGAACCTGCTTAGAATAGTGTGCACTGTCCAGTTGTGGGACTTCTTTCCCTTGGTGCTGTAGCTCTGCCTCCATGTGTGGGAAGTTTCGCAGGTCCCTGCGTTGCAGCCGACTTGTGAGCAGTTGCAGCCTGCTTTTGAAGGTGCTCACAGAACTGATCATGTGGATTATGTTTTTGTCCTTTCCCTGAAGCTCCAAATTCAGTTCATTGAGCAGGCTGGTGAGATCTGTGAGGAAGGCTAAATCCAAAAGCCACTGGGTGTCCTCTAGTTTTGAATGTTCACCATGATCTGACAGCTTCAGAAAATCCCTGATCTCAGGCAACAGCTCACTGAATCTGTCCAGAAATTTACCTCTGCTTAGCCACCTGACGTCCATGTGCAGCAGCAGGTCTGTGTGGTCTGCTCCTGCCTCCTCCAAGTGAGCCCGGAACAACCTCCTCTGCAGACTCCTGGCCCTTATAGAGCACACAGTTTTCATGGCAACATCCATCACTTCATGTTTAAAATCTTCCCACACAGGGCCTGTTGGTGGATGATGCAGTGATAGTGCAAAATGTCTGGGAAAGCATCATTCTGCTTGCAGAGTGCAACAAATCCACTGGTGTGACCAGTCATTGCTGGAGCGCCATCACTTGTTATAGAAATTAGTTTAAAGAGGGGCAAGTTGCTTTTATTAACAAACTCCATAAACACATTAAAAATATCTTCTCCTCTTGTGTGTCCCTTCAAAGGCAAGATGGTGAGCAGCTCCTCTTTTGCACTCATGTCTGCAAAGGCCATTCTGATAAACACACAGCTGGGCTACATCCACCATGTCTGTCGACTCATCAAACTGAAGAGAGAAACACTCACATTGTTCCACGTCCTTTTTTAGCTGCTCCTCCACATCCACAGCCATTCCCTCACATCGCCGTGTCACTGTTTGTCTGGACAACTGCACGTCTTTAATAGCAGCTACGATCTCACTTTTATTTTTAAAATCATGAAAAAGCACATCTGCAGCCTCAATAAACGCTTCTTTCATAACTTGTCCATCGCTGAAAGACTTCTTATGTTGAGCCAGGATGCGGCTAACACGGTAGGAAGCTATCGTAGCAGCTTTACCTTTTGTGCTGGGCCGAGTGAAGACTGATTGCTGGGCTGCAAGCTTGTTTTTTAGCTCCCGCACTTTCTGAGTCCGTAAAGAACTTTTAAGAGGGAAATCTGTCTCAAACCGTTTGTGCATCGTCTTGAAATGCCGCTCCAAGTTACACTTTTTGGGTAAGGCAACGCTCCAATTACAGATGAGGCAAATGGACTTCGAATTAGAATAAACAAAAAAATACTCCTCCTCCCACTCTGTGTGAAAATAATAAGTTTTCGTTTGCTTGTTCTCTAGTTTTCCATCCATGTTTTCTGCGCACCGACATTACTCCACTACTGAGCCTAAAGTCTCGTGAGAGCTGTGTCACCGCACACAAAACTTGCGAGACTATGTCTGTGAGAATACAAGTCAAGGTTTCGCTTCGCCCGCGAGCGACTGGTTGGGCACACCTGCTGTAAACCGTCAAAAAAGTGAGAAAATTGGGACGACATTCCAAAATGGCCGCCTTTCTGTTTATCGTACAACGTTGGTCTGAGGGTTTTCTGTGCATCTTGTGGAATTGGACAAGTGTACCAAATTTCATGTTTCTACGACAAACTAAGGTTAATGCGGAGGGAATTTAGAAAATTTCCAGGTGGCGCTCTTGATCCGTTTCTGTTGCGATTTTTGCCACGCCCTTAAAATACGTAATTTCACCTGTCCTAATGCGTCCGCCAAATTTGGTGAGTTTTGAGATCTGTTAAGGCCAATTCATTTGGCGGAAAAAATTGCAGCTCGGGCCTGAACAGAGCGATTACAATAGGCCTTCGCAGCGCTTCGCTGCTCGGGCCTAAAAATTAATAAAACCACAAAAAAACGTAATTTATTATTTACAAAAAAAAAGACCAACAAAACATTGGGAGTGTATATTATGTTCCTACCATTTATCATACTGCAAATAAGTCACAGGAAAACCAAAACTATTAGTTATTATTATTAAACTGCAAAAGTGAAGGAAATAATCCAACATTTTTCAGTCAGGTCATCTAGACAGTTTCTTTGTTTTTTGTGCTGAAACGTTTCACCTTCGATCCGGAAGGTTTCATCTGTCAAGGAAACGCACAACAAAATCAATTCTTCCTCCAACAGCTTACTCTAAAGTGGAAAAAAACAGTTCTGCTTATGATAAGATGGTCTCTTTGGTACACCCCTCCTCCATTGCTGGCCCTCTTCCTTGTTGACAGTCTTGTCAAACTGGTTGAAAACAACAAAGTCCATGCTCAATAATCCAGGTATACAATCCAACATTTTTCAGTCAGGTCATCTGGACCTGTGACCTCACTGGCTATTCCACACCTTGGAGTGATCTTTGTTGGTTCATCACTCCTGGGGAGGGAACAATGGTCTTGAATTTCCTTCATTCGTCTACAATCTGTCAGACTGTGGATTGGTGGAGTCCAAACTCTTTCCAGATGTTCTGTGACCTTCTCCAGCCTGATGAGCATCATCAACTCTTTTTGAGCTCCTCAGAAATCTTCTTTGTTCCACCACATGTTGTGAAGAGCAGACTGATAGATCCTGTTCTTTAAATCAAACAAGTGATCACTCACACCTGATCATCATCATTGATTGAAAACACCTGACTCTAATTTCACCTTCAGATTAATGATAATCCCAGAGGTTCACATACTTTTACCACTAATATGTAATACTGGATCAGCTTCCTCAATACATAAATGACCATGTTTAATATTTTAGTCTCATCTGTTTAACTGGGTTCTCTTCTTGTACTTTCAGGACTTGGGTGAAAATCTGAAGATGTTTTAGATCATATTTATGAAGAATTATAGAAAATTTTAAAGGATTCACTTCAAGCACCACTGTACAGGGTGACAGCAGCCAGGGACCCAATCATGCAAGACCACCTGATTTCTTCTGTGCACGGCTGGAGGCAGCTGCAAGGACAGTCTCGTGGAGAAAACACCCCCGTCCCTGACACCCCCACCACCCCCCCAGGCTGGTAATTACTGTAGTGAAGTTCAATCCAGAGGAACCTTAAATACGATAAATAAAATTTTATTTTACAAAAAGTGTACACTTTTCAACAAAAAATAAATATTTGAGTTTTACAAAAGAAAAGTATTTGACACAATCCATACTGAGTTCCTGTTGTCAATAAGTGAATTAAAATAAAACCACAATCACAACAAACTGAACGAAGGTCCCTCTCTTTGGGTACGTATTGTTTTTATGTCTGGTTGTCCAGAACAATGTTGCCATCTTTGTCTTTGACCCTGACCCGTCCGTTTGGATAGCGTGTTTCCTGCCTGCCGTCGGTGTAGACCGTCTTCACGGTGCCGTCTGGATACTCCCTCCTTTTATAGGCTGCTGTATGGACCTCCTTCTGTCCCGTGTTGAAGTGGATCTGTTTGGTGCCGTTGCTGAAAACAAACAGCGCCCAGTTAGTGTCTGTGGAAATCTGTTCTTTCACAGAAAATGAACTTTAGTCAAAATAAATATTCAAACATTCGCTGGTTCCACCTTCAGTTTGCAGAAGGAACTGGTCTTTGTCCATGTTTGTCCGTTCAGTGTAAACAAAAAACAAACAAAAAAACACTACCAGGTTGCCCAATAAATTAAGTTATTGAGTAATTAATATCATAATAAATTAGTATTGGGCAGTTAACAAAAGTTAATTGAGATGCACTAAAATGACAATACAAAGTGTTTTGTTGTGGTTAAATGACGATCTACAGTTTGTCAAACTAAAATCAACAACCAGTACGCCAATGTCCCCTGTTGCTGTGAGATTTGAGATGAGTGTTTTTCTTTACTGGGCTTGAACAACTCAATGCTGGAAAAACTAAAGAGCTGCAGGTGGACTACAGGAAGATCACCCCCCAGCAACATCAACATCAAGGGTTCAGGGCTTAAAGCGCACTAGCCGGGGGCTGGATTTCTGGCTTGAGAGCGAGACAGCCCGCTGGTCCACGTCAACTTTAGTTGATAGACAGAGATTACATCCAGTCACAATGAAGCTCACGTTGTCCTGACCAATAACAGGAAGGTGGGTCGTAGAAAAGCAAGCAGGCTGTATGCAGCTTCACAGTCAACTCAAATGCAGAAGATGGAATTCGTCACACCAAGACAAAACGTAGTTTTACTGGAGAATGCAATTAAAAACAAGTGGTGCTCTGCCTTCTCTAACAGGCGGCAATTATGCTGCCTACTCAGGTGTCCAGCGCCTCCTACTCTGAGACGATTTTTCCCCCTTTGGAGCAAATTGAAGTGCATGTGCCTGCCAACATGGATTGACCATCCAGAATGTCCAGAATGGATGGTCTGCTCCAGAACCATGCACATCAGGGGGCACAAGAAGCACAGAACCACAGGGCATTGGATGCTCGCAAGCTGGTAGGATTGGTTCACCTCAGGCCCAACTTCGGCCCGGTTCGTGTAGCCCAGCTGGATCGGCACAGCGGTCTGGCTGCACAATATGTCGACACGGAGAGGGGTGGAGATGTTGGCACCGCTGATGCAAAGCTGGAGAGCAGCAGGTGGGAGAAGAGGTGGAAGAATGAGCCTGTACAACCAAATGGTAAATGAACTGTACTTATATAACATCTTTTTATCTTATCGAGACACTAAAAGCACTTTACAACAATCCGTGTCCTCATTTACCCATTCATACAGCTCTCTACTAGATCTCTACAAAGATAATTGAACAATTTTTTTCTCCGGTAAGATGGCACCCATGTACATGGCTTGCAATCCACTTCTGCTGATGGTGTTCGGATTATTTGTGTTTTGTTCGTTTTTTTATCTGGGACATAAACTCGCTGCTGGTGTATGGCCGACAACAGCTTCTGGATCTTCGATTTTCTGCCGTCAATGTTGTTTATTTGGACCAATATGAGTGTACCTCTGAAACCCCCCAACCCCCTCTTCCCCCCGCTGCTGGCGAATGTGCCCATTTACCTCGGCTGCGCTTCTCGCCTGCCTGCCCGGAGACATCGCTCCAGACACCGGGGAAAATGTTCTGGGCGGCTGGTAAAGCTTAAAGCCCTGCGCGCTGCATCTTCCTCTTCAGCTGGTGGTCATGGTTTCCATCGCTAGCTTCCCACGTGCCCAGACCAGGTAAACGACGGGAGTTGTCAGCTGGTGCGACACACAGACCGACCCTGAGGGGCTGTTATTGAAAACCTGCGGCCATTGGCGCGCGCTCCCTCCACCGCTGCTGGTTCCACTTTGGACAGTATCCGGATGTGTTTGGTCAACGCAAGATCTGTTACCAACAAAACTTTTATCCTCAGGGACTACTTTCAAGAGCACGAGTTGGACTTTCTCTGCATCACAGAGACTTGGATGTCTCCGGGTGAGTCCAGTGTCTTGACGGAATTATTGCCACCGAACAGTCTGTGTTTTAATGCACCGCAGCCATCAGACCGGCGCGGTGGTGGATTATTAACAATATTCATCCCAGTTTCCTGCGCCAGCTTTGAGCTGAGCATCTTTGAACTCGGCCATTCGCCTTCGACTTTGTACGCTCGTCTACCGCCCACCTCGATCTAAGGATGTCATAAATTAGATGTTTCTTGGCTGAAATCACACCAAAATATGAGCATGTTTTCATTATTGGTGACTTTAATTTGCACGTGTGCTGTCCTGAGAAGCCCTTGGTTAAGGACTTTTTAGATTTATTGGACTCATTTAATTTAATCTAACTCAGCATGTAAACGGTCCCACCCAAGAGCGTGGACATACACTGGACCTTGTTTTAACTCGTGATGTGACTGTTAATAATCTTGAAATTGGTGATAATGTTTTTTCAGACTACATGCCAGTCCAGTTTGAGTTCACCCTCCCCCATCTAACTCCTAAGCCGTGCATTCCTGCACGTAGTAGCCGGGCCATTAACCACTTCACTGCCGCACGTTTCACAGATGTTTATAACTCTGAAATGATAATTCAGCCCCCGGTGTTTCTCACCACCACTGAGGAGCTGACATCCCAGTTCAACTCTGTCTGCTTAAAGACTCTGGATCATGTTACACCTGTTAAAACCAAAACATCAAAACTCAGAGCAGAACCTTGGCTGAGTGACGTCACCAAGGCCGCTAGGCAGCAATGTAGGAGGGCGGAGCGAAAGTGGAGGAAAGACAGGATGCAGGTCTCTTTCCAGATACTTAAAGAGAGTTGGTGCTGTTATCAGAAAACAGTAAAAGCTCCTAAATCAAAATTCTTCTCTGATATAATTACCTCAATCTCTCACAACCCACGTGTCCTCTTCTCCACCCTAAACTCTGTTCTCCACCTCACTGAACCATCACCTCTGGAAGCCTCGACTGAGCTGTCGACAACTTCTTACATTTCTTTTTGGAAAAAATTGCGACCACCCGGGCTGAAACTGACATGCTGAAGGTCTTTAATGACCTTTTCTTAGCCACTGATACCGGTGATTCTGTGCTGCTTGTCCTATTGGACCTCACAGCCGCCTTTGACACCATCGACCATGAGATCCTCATTGCCAGGTTGGAGCAGTGGGTGGGCATCACAGGGTCAGCCCTCAATTGGTTCAGATCCTACCTTGCTGACAGATCCTTTTGTGTCTCCATCAAGGATTTTAGTTCTGCAGCAACAGAAGTTAAATGGGGGTTCCGCAGGGGTCCATCCTGGGTCCCCTCCTATTATCTTTATACCTGCTGCCGCTTGGTGCTATTTTCCGGAAACACAACATGCCCTTCCACTTCTATGCTGATGACTGCCAAATCTACTTCCCCCTAAGACACAATGGTACATGCTCTATTCAACCTCTGCTCGACTGCCTGGCTGACATCAGGGACTGGATGGCTTTAAACTTCTTAAGTTTCAATGAGGGCAGCACGGTGGCGCAACTGGTAGAGCTGCTGCCTCTCAGTGAGCAGGTCCTTGGTTCAAACCCCGGTCCAGGGGCCTTTCTGGGTGGAGTTTGCAAGTTCTCTCCGTGCATGCGTGGGTTTTCTCCGGGTGCTCCGGTTTCCTCCCACAGTCCCAAAACATGCATGTTAGGCTGATTGGTAGGGTTGTTATCGATAAACCGATACGACCGGATATCCGGTTTGACAAGCTAGCGATATGGTTGTGTCGGTAGCAGCCGTATAAATCGATAGCAACCAGCCACAAATGCTGAGATGAACCGGTTGAAGAGACATGAACCGGGTATCGCGAGACTAGCTCGGTTGACAGTGCGTTTATAAAACAACGCGAGAGTCGGAAATGCCCGCAAAGCTATTCTCACGCATGCTCTGTAGCTCACCAAGACAATGAGAATGGATGTAAATAGTAGCAGCGTTAGCGGGTCACCGAGAAAGATTTTCAATACAGCAGCCAGACAAAAGTCTAAAGTGTGGAACGTTTTCGGGTTTTACAAGAAGGACGGAAAACTTGACAAAAACCACGCTATTTGTAAGCTATGCAGAGCACCTCTGAAGTACACTGGTAGCACAACAAACCTTGATCAACATGCAACGAGAAAACAGAGAGGAGTATGGCGAACTTCTCAAGCCCCATAACAACGAGCAGGAGCAGGCAGCTGCCACACAGAGAGCGACGGGTAACGTTATCACTAAATTTTACGGGCAACTCGGCGACAGTTCATCATGAGCTAAGGATATAACGGCATCAATAACCCGTTTCATAGCTAAGGGCTTATGGCCGTACAATATAGTGGAGGGGGAAGGATTTCAGGATTTGATTCATACGTTAGAGCCCAGATATAAGATTCCGTCCCGGCAGCATATCACAAACACATGCATGCCAGCGTTGTATGCCCAAGTGAAGAGCCAAGTTGAAAAAGAATTGGCACATGCAGAGTGAGTTGCTGTTACAACCGATGCCTGGACGTCATGCTCCACTGAGTCTTATGTGACCATCACTGTCCACTACATCTCTCCAGACTGGAAGTTAAATGTGCATGTGTTACAAACCAGGGCATTCAAAGGATCCCACACTGGGAAAATATTGGTGCTCTGCTAAAACAGGCATGTGTTGACTGGAACCTTCTTGATAAAGATCCAGCCCTGGTGACAGACAATGCCACAAACATGGTACTAGCTGGAGTGGAAGCAGAGATGACCCCTCACCTCATGTGCTTTGCACACACTATTAATCTCGCCACACAGAAAGCCTTTAAAGTTGACACAGTAGCGAGGTTGCTGGGGAGAGTGAGGAAAGCCGTTGCCTTTTTTCATCGTAGTGTGAGGGCTGCAGAAATCCTTCAAGAGAAACAGAAACAACTAGCCTTGCCTTCCCACAAACTCATCCAAGATGTATCCACGCGGTGGAATAGCTCCCATGACATGCTTGAACGCTTTTTTGAGCAACATCCTGCGATTTCTGCAGCACTCATGTCCAGGGACCTCAGAAAAGGAGAAGAGGTGAATACTCTCAAGGACAAAGACTT